GAAGTAACTATTCGGTTGAACAGCATCCAAACCTGTTAGAATCTTATAGACCTGGATCATGTCCCCCCTCAGTCTCCTTTGCTTGAGGCTGAACAGATTTAGCTCAACTAACCTTTCCTCGTATGACATTCCTCTAAGACCAGGAATCATTCCTCTTCTACATATATGGTCTACATAACAATACATAGCAATTCATCATAAAATATTACACCACATATACAACCAGGAACATAAATAAATAAATAATAACACAATAAATAAATTACTATTTCTTAAGACTGCTACTCAAATCGGTCCTTGTAATATTTTAAAAATCTTTGGGTTTTCTTGTTTTTTATCAAGGAAAGCGACAACATTTTTTAGCTCAATAAAGAAGATGGAACATAAGGGCAAAGAACCTGTAAATTTTTGTTTGTGAATGAAAAATTTTCCCATTAAAATAAAAAAATTAACTACATCACATAATGCCCAATCGTTATCATTACAGTAATAACAAACTATATCTTTAAGGGTAAAGATACAAATAGATTGAGGAGTTTGAAATATATAAAAATACAACTCAGACCAAAATGTTCTAATCACGTCACACTGAAAGAAAAGGTGGGTAAGCGTTTCATCTACCAGGCCACAGAAGGTACAGGCACTGTCTATGTCTACAAATTTGGCAATTTACAAGTTAACTGGATATATCTTATGTAAAATCTTAAAATGAACTTCTTTTACTTTATTGGAGATACAAAATTTATGACGCAGAAGCCAGGCCTTCCTCCAATTAATGTCCCCCAAATGAGAATTCCAGAAAAAATTCCCTCTAGGGATAGTTCTGTTTTATATACTGTAAAGTTTGGCGGATATGCTTATTCGTACATTTTTTATCATATGTCACTATTCCATTTATATAGAGGTTTGAATAGACAGCAGATGCTTGTCCTACATTAACACTTAAATGATTTTTCATAAGCTGAATCAGGCCCTGTGGAATAGCTTTGACAACTGCACTGTATTCCTTATATGGTATGGGAAAACTGTGCTCTGTCATAAAGCTGCTATATATTATTAAAGACCCTTGATCATCAAAGAGAGACATGACATTTGGAACCATTGTGGATAAAACAAATACCTGTTCTTTATTGTGATGTACATATTATTCCATAAAAAGACTCTATGAGGGGAAAAATTATGGACAAAACATAGTTTCAGGCCAAGAGAGACTGTTGATGGAATTTGGATAAAAAAATGGGGAGTTTGAGAGGGGAGTAATCACACCGTAAAAGCAAAGATAGCCCACCAAGTTTTCCAAAAATATGAGTTGGGATAAAGAACCATATTGAATTTGGATTAATCAAACATTTCCTTATCCAACTGACTCTAAATGTGTGAACTATATCCACAAAATGAAGCACCTCCAGTCCTCCTTCCGCCCTACCATTGGACAGTATCGCATGCTTAAGTTTATGAGATTTGTTTTTCCAAATAAAATTAAGGAACAATTTATTAATAGTATTGGCTGAAAGATCATTAACAAAAAGTGAGAGGGCCGGATATACAAAACGTGACAATCCCTCCGCTTTGGATAAAAGAACCCTTCCATATAAAGACAAATGTCTTTGTAACTATTAATTAAATTTACACGTTGTGGATTTTATCAGCCCCTGAAAGTTCTGATTTTGTCTATTAGCCAAGTCATTTGTTATATAAATACCTAAATATTTCACCTTGTTCTTAATGCCCTAGAACCTAATTTATAATGCCAACAATAATTCATAGTGATAATAAGCATGTATTTTATACATTTATTTACTTTTTTGTAATTTTATAATTATTTGGTGTATTCTCTCTTTTATAAAGTTTCTTGGCTTTTTAGGGAGGAGAGGTATGTTATGATCAATGGTAATTGCGGGTTGTCGCCATTAGATGTCACTGTGTTACCTGTAATATGTAGAGAGACAAGCCGAAGAAGAGTTGTTGTTAGCCATGAGGTTTTAGAAGAACTGTGTTAATAAAAACGAGCATTTGCTTCATCATCAGCCATGTATTTATTCAAACACAAACACAACAAGGTACAGTACAGGTGCAGAATACCATGTACACTGTGAGAAAGAAGACTACCAATTTGTACCATTGCTTGTCACTAAGGCTGTACCTTCGAGGGTCTGCCAATTGTAGCCTATAGCTGTAGGTAATTGTACTTTTTAAGATACAGAAATGGACTATGAGGAACCATTGGGGGAACATTAATGTTGTTTATACCCTGGGGATGTTCCTTAGCGTCGATTTCTGTACCTTAAATTAGTCTAATAGGCACATTTACCTACAGCTATGGTACAGTTAGCAGACCCTTGAGGTTTGACCATCTCCAAAGCTGCCTTTGGGGTTTCTTTGTGCCTCTTGGTGCTTTAAGACATGACAGATATCCTACGGATGTTGTCTGAACTACGAAATATTTAAGATAAAATAATATATATTTAAAAGCCATTCCTGCAAGTTGTCATAATAAATAGTTTTTTTAAGGATTTCTTTGTTTTTCTTAGTAACATTTTGTCATATCCGAGGGAACAGAGGAAGGAGAGGGACGTCAGAGTAAGAATCCACCTTTCCACTGTGTTCAGGGGTATACCTGTATCTGTATAGCTGCAATGACACTGTGAGTGTATTGTGGGACACATTGTGGCTGATGCTCAGTGTTGGGCAGTAACGCGTTACTCAGTAATATATTACAGTAATATTATTACTTTTAACAGTAATGGCAAGTGTAAGGGATTACAATTTCCGAAACAGTAATAATATTACAGTTATTAATTCAGTAACGCAGCGTTACCATGATGGGTGAACACAATCAGTATTTTGTCCTAAATAGGTTATCTTATGATTACGTAAACGCCCAACAGATCAGACTAGATTATGCATTAACCAAAAAGTTAAATAAATCATGGAGGATGATCGAGAGGGAGGGAGGTGTACTTTCAGCAGTTGGAATTATAGTCATTATTTCGACTGTGTGTCAGGTAAAGATGAAAATAACGTCGTTCGTTGTAAACTTTGTGCCAGCAGCAAAACGCTTTCAACAGCGAAGAACACAACATCTAATTTACTAAAGCATTTGACATGGCAGCACAGCGACAAAGTGAAGCTTGTTGAAAAAATGCTGACGACCGAGAGACACATACAGCTGGTAACGTGTGTATATATATATATGTGTGTGTGTGTGTTTCCCATATATGTCTTTGAAAATGATTGTTTACTATTTTTTATATGGCACAAAATACAGAATAACAACACAATCCGGCTCATATTCTGTTTATGCTTCTTTGGTCATTTGGAATCACATACAGTGCATCATTGATGATCAGGCATGCAGTGAAATCAGAATGTTATCCACGTTAGTCTTAGGAAAAAACAGAAAGGCTGCAGTCAGAATAACAAATCAACTTCAGTGACCATTCTTGTTGTTCCTAAATCCATCCATCACCGTAACCATTTAATCCCAACTGGGGTCGCAGAGCCTAACCCAGGAACTACGGGCGCAGGTGAGAACCAACCCTGGGCAGGCGCCAACACACCGCAGGGCCAATTTAGACTCGCCAATCACCCTATCCTGCATGCTTTTGTACCGTCGGAGGAAACCGGAGCTCCTGGTGGAAACCCACGCAAACACAGGGAGCGCGTCTGAACTCCTCACAGAAAGGACCCGGGATAAAACCCAGGACCTACTTGCTGTGAGGCAGCAGCGCTAACCACTGCGCCAGCATGCTGGCCCTTGAGAGGCTGTTTGCTAAACTGTATTTACTTAATTGTATTATACGCTTTATGCTTTGAGCAGCGTTGAACCAGGACATTAACTGGGCAGAACAGGAAGCTTTAATTGCCAGTGTACATGTAGCAAATACAAAATACAGACAGAAATATATAAAATGTACATACTGTATAAGGGGAGGGGAAAAGCCCCCCTAATCATCAGGATTACATTTCATTACATTTTAATCAGAAACAATTAGTTATTTTACAGTCATTTATTTTTGTCTAGCATACTGCAGCACCGGCGGGACGCATGTCCCAGCATGTTTCAAATATCCCTTCTTGTATTGTCGTTGCTCTTATTGTTAATGGTTGCATTTCCTTATTGTCGCGCGTGTGTTTGCGCGTGTGTTTGCGCGTGTCTTGTGTGTACCCGGTCCGATCCACGCCTGTATTTAGCTTGCGGAAATCTCCCTCCGTGTTTGCATCTTACAGTTCAATGTCTGACAACCTTGTGTTTCCCAATGCATCTTTGGTTCGGTGCTTGTTGGGTGCCTGATGTGATCCTTTTCAGGAGCAGCAATAAAGAGCGTTTCAGATGAGGGAGTCTCCGTGTTTCTCTCTGTTCCCATGATGCCTCGGTCCATCCGACACCACAATAGTCATACTTCGGACAGAGTGGAAGGGTAATCGATTGCCGCACATATCGCTTTAAAAGATGAATGCGTACTTGTGTACCAGTTATGTCCATCCCTGGTTATACTGCTTAAAAAGCAGAGATTTTACCTTTTTGTCATGGAGAAGCAGTAACATGTGACGCTCTGATAAAGTAAAAATGATTCCTCCAGCACATAGTGAGCTATCCCAGCATGCACAGGGACACTGAGGAGTTTATATAAACCAAAAACCCTGGACAGAGGGGTTCAGTGAATGAGGAGGTGAAGCTGTACAGGAGGGTCAGTCCATCAGAGGAGACTCTGTAGAAGGACAGAGTACCAGCCGCCCAGTCCAGATACACTCCTACTCTGTGGGAGCCTGAGGGCTTTATGGGTATGTCAGTCTGTTTATAATTGTGCCGGACAGAGTAACGGTCAGGAGAGCAGCGCAGCATCCATGACTTGTCATTGGCTCCAAGCAGACAATCATCACTGTTTCCTTTTTTCTTGATTCCTTTATAAGTCACTCCTATCCGGGCTGCATCTCCACTCCACTCAGCCTCCCAGTAACAGCGACCAGTCAGACTCTCTCTGCACAGAACCTGGGGCCAGCGGTCAAATCTCTCTGGACGATCAGGATATAGCTGCTGCTTTGCCCCCTCTGTCACCTTCCTGTTCCCCTCTGACAGAGACAGGCGGCCGTTTGCTGTGTTGGGGTCCAGCGTCAGCTGACAGGAGTCTGTAGGCAAGAGGAAGAGCGATTGATCCCATCACGAAGCCCAGCATCTCCATCATTATCACTGTCACACCTCACACA